ATTTTAGTTCTTCTATAAACATTAATTCTCAAAGCTTACTCAAATGACCATACTGAGCTGAAGCATTGTTATTAGCAAAATATGTTACTAGCAAAATAAAAAATAGAATATTTGAATTTAACATTTTCAAACCCATTAAATTCAAATATTCAATTTTTTTATTTTGCTAGTAACATACACTGTATTTTGCTAATAACAATGCTTCAGCTCAGTATGGTCATTTGACTAAGCTTTGAGAATTAACGTTTATAGCAGAACTAAAATCCCAAAAAGAAATTTGAGAGTTGGGCAGAACCTTATAAAATAAAAGCAAACACCAAGTGAGAGCAGCCACAGAAAACGGCTTCACCATGAAAACATCCAGATGTCTGTAACAGATTTATACAAGTGATGTAGAGCACAGTTGTCAAGTACGGAGTTAAACATAATTACTACCATTGAGGTTACACTATCCTTTCCAGCACTTGTCTTAGACAACACAACATAATTTCCTAGATTATATCTAATTAATACCACTCAAACCCTTTCTGGGAGGCGCTGTGGCCTCATGGTTAGTGCACTTGTCTCCCGATCAAGCAGTTCAGGTTCAAGCCCCGGCCGGGAACATAGTGTTGTGTTCTTGGGCAAGACACTTAACTATCACAGTGCCTCTCTCCACCCTGGTGTATAAATGGGTACCAACAAATTAAATACCGGAGGGTGACCCTGCAATGGACTTGCATCCCATCCAGGTGGGAGTAGAAATACTCCTAATTGCTTCATGTTACAGAAACTGGGATAAGCTTCAGCCTGATGGGCCACTTGGCTCGCATGCAGACTCAAACCCTTTCACAACTCAGATATTTTTGAACCACGAAAAATGTTACTACCACAAATTGAATACCTATAACATGACGCTAATAATTTCATTCTAAAATTTGCCATACCTGGAAATTACTCCAACAAGATAAGACAAAGACAAAGTCTAAAAGAAATGAAAAGTAAATCACTGTTCACTGTCAAGAACAACAAAGCCATTTGGCAACAATGCTTTGTTTACATACTAAAGAATGATATCATTTATGTTAGTATAAAATAAGTTCTCTAAACATAAATATGGGCTTCATTTAATATTTTTTTCATTACTTAACTTGTACTTACAAATAGTGCCAACAAAATGAAGTTGGATGGGTAGCTTCTACTAAAAAAAAAATTATAATAAGCATTAATTAACATACAATCATGTACACTCTATATTTTTACATCTAAGGGCCTAAAGACAAGCAGTCTAAACAACTCAAGAGTACGCTATTCTTGACTGGTTAATGGAGAAGCACAATTTCATTTGAGACTATGTTCCTATCTATGTAACAGCATTTGCAGAAAATTCCAACCGAGTATTTTTTTTTTGTATTCTGAAGGTGACAAAACTGATTGAAACTAACCTCACTCCTTCACAGCACACCAGAACAAAATACAGTACAATGAAGACCACACTGAAAACAACAATAAAATGAGAGAATGATGCTTGTATATCGCAAAACTGGAGCTTCTTTCTTTCAATGATGTCTTTTTAGTTTCTTTCATCCCTGGTCTCCCTTTCCATTGTTAACTCAGCATGGCAGGTACCCATAGTTACCACTCTGGGTACGGTAATACATGTCGTGACATAATAATTTTAGAAAGAGGAACCCAATAGACAAGCTTGGTCAATAAAGGATTTATTACATGACATAATGAACACTATTTTCTTGCTGAAAACAGGGGGTGATCCTGAATAGGTAAGACAGCCCCATATTGCCTGCTCAGGTAGCCAATCACAGCACAGGACTTGCCTGCTTGCAGAGTTAGCCATATGATAAATAATTAAAGTTATTCTACCTTTAGTTAGTCACTAGACTGTACTTACTATGCTGAAATGTACAAGCCCAAGTTGTTCTGTGCAAAACCTTTCACTCTATCACTACAAATGAAAAATATTATAAAATTTTCACATTTGGAAACACCTATAAATGTAAATACTTAACACAATCAAAAAGAGCATTTCAAGGAAGCACTTACAAGCATTTAAAATACCAGCTTTT